ACCTGGAGCAAATTTTTGTAAACATATACATATATATTCTGTTATATTATAATAATTTAATTTCAGTTCACAGTGTGAGAGCTGAAGTTGAGGATAAACTACTTCAATAAAGCTTATATAAACATAACACTCGTGTATTAATGTGGTGCGCTGGTTATAAGGGAATACTCGCCCTGGATATGAGTGAGCTTTTATGTTTTTAAAGTCTCAAAAACAACGTTACGAGTACACTGATGGCTCTGTAAATTAAATATTACAAGAGGAGAAAGAGGGGAGGGGAGCCTGGGAGGCCCGGATGGTCCATTTATTATTTGAACTAAAAAAATCAAAATCAAATACCTTAGCGTTGAGACTCTTGAGGTCAGTGTATGTTTGTCCGGTCCCGACGAATACAATCGGTTGACCAGAGATATAGGTCATAGAAATAGCTGACCCAACCTGTAACATTTAGTGGTCATCACCTAGGACATTGAGTGGTCATAAACTTGGACATTTAATGGTCATCACCTAGGACATTTAATGGTCATAAACTAGGACATTTAATGGTCATAAACTAGAAAATTTAGTGATCATAATTCAAGAAATTTAGTGGTCATAACATAGGGCATTGAGTGGTCATAACCTAGGAAATTTTGTGGTCATAATCTAAGAAATTTAGTGGTCATACAATTGGGCATTTAGTGGTCATAACCTATGGGACTTAGTGGTTCTATTTAGGACATTTAGTGGTCATAATCCAGGACATTTAGTGGTCATAACCTTGGACATTTAATGGTCATAACCTAGGAAATTTAGTGATCATAATCTAAGAAATTTAGTGGTCATAAAATAGGGCATTTAGTGGTCATAACCTAGGGGACTTAGTGGTTCTAACCTAGGACATTTAGTGGTCATAACCTAAGACATTTAATGGTCATAACCTAGGAAATTTAGTGGTCATAATCTAAGAAATTTAGTGGTCATACAATTGGGCATTTAGTGGTCATAACCTATGGGACTTAGTGGTTCTAACCTAGAACATTTAGTGGTCATAATCCAGGACATTTAGTGGTCATAACCTTGGACATTTAATGGTCAAAACCTAGGAAATTTAGTGATCACAATCTAAGAAATTTAGTGGTCATAAAATAGGGCATTTAGTGGTCATAACCTAGGGGACTTAGTGGTTCTAACCTAGGACATTTAGTGGTCATAATCCAGGACATTTAGTGGTTATAACCTAGGACATTTAGTGATCATAATCCAGGACATTTAGTGGGTATAACCTAGGAAATTTAGTAATCATAAAATAGGGCATTTAGTGGTCATAACCTAGGGCATTTAGTGGTCATAACCTAGGAAATTTAGTGGTCATAACCCGGGACATTTAGTGGTCATAACCTAGGCCATACTGGAGAAATTATACAAGTATGATTGTTAAAACAATTATGGTCACAGACATAGATTATTTATACTTTATCTATAAGAGCTTTGAAGGGTACCGTTGTGAATCAGACATTGCCTTCTTTGCATAAAGGTTTCCCTGATATTACAGTTCCTTTAAGAAGGACGTACCTTGTCGTCAATCGTGTCAAACTTAGTGAGCACTATTCCATCAATGGTATGTGGATTCTCCTGAATATAAAAAAAATTCAACTATTTATTAAAAACAATAATAGCATACTAAATACTATTATATGGGGATGGGGGAGTTGACAAAATAAAACTGTAATTATAAGGCTTCCCCTAAAATAAATATACAAATTTTAATTCAATTTTCATGAATTACAATAATATTATGAAATCGATAATGGCATTTAATTTTCATCAATTATTGATTTTATACTATAAAGGTAGACCGAGTAAATGATGCTATGCACAGTGTACAGAGTACAGAGTACAGAGTACAGAGTACAGAGTACAGAGTACAGTGTACAAAGTACATAGTACAGTGTACACTACTACAGTGTACACAGAGAACAGGGTACAGAGTACAGCGTATATAGTACAGTACAGTGTACAGTGTAGTACTACAGTGCAGTGTACAAAGTACATAGTACAGTGTACACTACTACAGTGTACACAGAGAACAGGGTACAGAGTACAGCGTATATAGTACAGTACAGTGTACAGTGTAGTACTACAGTGAATGTGCAGAGAGCAGGGTACAGTGTAAAGAGTACAGAGTACAGAGTGCAGAGTACAGAGCGTAGAGTGCAGAGTACAAGTGCAGCGTACAGAGTACAGAGTGCAGAGTACAAGTGCAGAGTACAGAGTGCAGAGTGCAGAGTGCAGAGTGCAGAGTTTAGAGCTTAGAGTTTTGAGTGCAGAGTGCAGAGTACACAGTACAGTGTGCACTGTACAGAGTACACAGTACAGTGTACAAAGTACATTGTGCAGCGTAAGTACAGAGTACACTGTGCAGGGTACAAACTTCAGTGTATAGTGTACAGGGTACAGAGTACAGTGTACAGGGTACAGAGTACAGTAAACAGGGTACAGAGTACAGTGAACAGGGTACAGAGTACAGTGAACAGGGTACAGAGTACAGTGAACAGGGTACAGAGTACAGTGAACAGGGTACAGTGTACAGGGTACAGTGAATGGTGTACAGAGTACAGGGTACGGTATAAGAGTGCTGTGTACAGGTTTACTTCTGTATACCTGATGCGAATGGTCGGCTAGTGCCGCGTTGAATTTGACGAGCTGATCAATAGCTTCATTTCCCACAAGGGCCTCCCCCACAAACAGGACTAGGTCAGGGGCATTCACGGAGATCAGCTTCGTCAGGGACCTCATCAGGGGCTCATTGTCCTTACAATAAGAAAATAAAAGAACCTGGATTACATGTATTCTAACCAACGAACCACAATAGTTTCAGTAGAAGTAAATATTTCTATTTACTAAAACTTCCAACGTTTCAAAACTGTATTATGCCAAACTTTGCAATATCTCTGGCCTTAAAAAATTTAAAATCCAAAAACGTTCATTTTTGCATAATTTTTTTTTAGTATTTGGGTCGTTTTCTGCATATATCTTTAGTCGGGGTCAAAGTTTGACAGTGTGTCAAAAAAACAAATGTTAAAAATAAACAATTTCTTTTCTTGCTCAATGCAAAATTTTGACCCGGAGAGAAAAAATGTGGAAAAACCGACCCAACTGAATTGACATGACTACCTGCATTCTACCCGCTGTATCGACCAGAACAACATCCATCTTCATATCACGTGCATAATTGATAGCCTCCATTGCTATTCCAGCAGCATCCTGGAGTATTATATAGTTAAGTATTCAGGGGTCTATATTTTCAAGAGTTAACAAATAGGTTGTAATGTGAGCCAAATTGCTCCAAAAATGAAGGCACAGGACCAAATCCTATTGAGATGATTTATTCTAGCTCCTTGGAAGAGCACCAGGCCAGTCTCGGGTTGCAAAAATGTTTGGATTTTCAAAGTTCTCGGATCTGAACCCAAATTTAATACAAGCTAGCCATGGGAATGGGGAGGGTACCCTGGTACTTGACAACTGGCAAAGGAACATTACCCTGGTCTCGTACGGAGTCTCTAATGCTCTCACCCCGTCCGTCGTTTTTGGCACTTTCCCTCCAAAGTTTGATTGAAAAATAGTATTTTTTAAGGGGGGCGGGGAGGAGCCTCCAAAATATATAGTCTTCCAGCCTACCTTTCCATATCCTTTCTCATAGAGCTGAACCATTTCCCTTCCATTGTTATCCACAGGAGGATGCATCGAGTTCAACCTCCTAGAACATGTTTTCATTTAAAGGGACTGTAGGCGTAATTTACAGTGATACTTTATTTCCAAAATGACAATTCTGATTTTACACCTTTCACTCTCCACTAAACCCTATTATTTCTAAGGTCAGAGTACTGCTAATCATTGCAGGAGACAGAAAGCTTAGTTAAGGTTTGTCTCATTACATTATTTGCACTTGTCGAGAAGGTGAAAATAAAAAAATTTCTTATAATTTAACACTTGTAAGAGAGAAAACAACAATAACTTCCTCATTCTTATTCAGATTAGAGTTTATTAGGTAAAAACTGCTGCTTACCTCGTAATTGTTCTTAACTGTTTGATATTTAAAAGCTGCTTACCTATATGTGTTCTAAGCTGCTCTATGAATAAAAGCTGCTTACTTAGTATGTGTTCTGAGCTGCTGTATCTATTAAAAGCTGCTTACCGAGTATTTGTTCTAAGCTGCTCTAAATATAAAAGCTGCTTACCTAGTAATTGCTCTAAACTGCTCTATGTATAAAAGCTGCTGTTGTAAACCCGAGTTTGATTCGGTCTACAGCAGAATTTTAACGCAATAATTAACTCTCTTAGTTCATATTTATTAATTCAAGTTTATTAATAATGGTATATTTATATTCAGGAGATCAGTATTCGGTTCCAAGCTCCACCTTCTGTACTCCAGCGGAACACTAACTATGCTGAAGAGGCGGCCTGGTACTTCCTTAGGTTCCCTAACTGTTCCATGACCTTCTCTAGATCCCTCAGTTGATACTGTATCTGCTCTAAGGCTCCTTCATTTCCAATTGATGAGGATTCATCTGCCCCCAACCCTGGTGGAGCCTCATTCTCTTCTTCAGATTCATCCTCGAGGCCAGGGACATCACCCGGGTCTCCTCTGAAATCCCCCTTCTGGGGTTTACCTTTCTCCGTCTCTCCTTCATCAAGATCATTCCCTCTTTCATCCCCAGAGCTCTCAGATACTTCAGCATCAGACTGATCAGGAATCCATACACTAGGATCATCAGGGTCATCCTCGGAGGATGAGATGGTTATAACCTCCATTGCAGCTAAAGTAACCACTGTGGTATTGTTAGAGATATTTCTAGCTTTTAATATAATTAGATAAGAAATACTTATTTATCTTTTTAGTCATAAAGAGTTGGTATCCTTTATGTAGCTTTACGGAGCTATTTGTTTTACTTTACTATATAAAGCTTTGGCAACTTTTATGGTATTTTAGTTACTTAGCTATTAATATAATTGAGAACTATCTAGAATTGGTTATATATATATATATAACTTTACTAAGCTATTGGTATTGCTTAGCGTTATAGAGCTATCCTATTTAGCTTTGTGGAGCTATTAACTTTGCAAAGCTATGTATTGGATTTAGCTTTGCAGAGTTGCTTTGCGGAGCTAAGGATCTTATTTATTTTTACACAAATAGCCTTATTAAGTTATTTGTCTTATTTAGGTTTGCAGGGCCAAGAAGCCGGCTTAGCTTTACGGAGCTATTTATCCTGCTTAGCTTTACGGCGCTATTCATCCGGCTTAGCTTTACGGAGCTATTTATCTCATCTAACATTGCAGAGCTATGTATGGTATTTAGCAATGTAGAACTATATATTCTAGTCCATTGATGTAGAGCTAGATATTTCTTTGCTGAGCTATATATTGTATTTAGCTACGCAGGATTATATATCCTTGCCTATCTATGCTAAGATAGATTTCTACAACTAGCTATTCAGAGTTGAATATGTTTATCAGGCTATGTTATGTTAATAGTCTGATTTATGAATCGGTCAGAGTTGTGAGCTGCATTTGACCTAAGGTAGAAGATTATATTAATATTATAATTCTTTCTACTAGTAAGGTTCTTTGTGCACTGCCGTTCCCTTTTGCTTTGATTTATTATATAGAGCGCTGGCAGCATGTTCTATATATACATGTCAATATATATATATACGTGAATTCTAAGGTATTCTTAATTTGTTCTAGATCACAACACTGCTTACCTAGCATGTGTTCTCAGCTGCTTTATATATATAAAAGCTGTTTACCTAGTATGTGTTCTAAGCTGATCTATATATAAAAGCTGCTTACCTAGTATGAGTTCTAAGCTGCTCTACAGCTCCGGCTCTAAAAGTATCGCAAGCAGCAATCAGAACTCGGAACTTATTCTCTAAAAAAATTCATTATTTTTTATTAAAAATGCACTGAAAAAGTCTACTACTTACTTGTTTGAATAAAAGGATGAATAAATGAATTAATTAATGAATACCTACCGAGGCATGAATCAATTTATGCACGAGTTGAATGAGTTTGTGTGTGTGATGTAAAAAGAAAATGAGCGGATGAATAAATGAAAATAATGATGAATAACAGAATGAATAATAAATGAATGAATAAATAAATGAATAAATGAATGAGTTTTTGTGTGATGTGAAATGAGAATATTGAATTAACAATTTAATTATTTACTACTTTACAGGGAAGTTAAGGGAATTTTAGTTTACCAAGGGTTCCCTAGACCAGTTTTGCTTACAAAACATCCAGTGCGTAACGAGGGATGTTTTGTAGACAAAATTGGTCGAGGGAACCTGTGGTTAAGTAAGATTTTTGATTTCACAAAAAAGTAGTAGTACAAAATTTTATCGTCTTTTGGGATAAAAATGCGGGTCGTGTTATTTTACTTATCTGTCCCAAAGGACGTTAAGTAACATAACGACCCTCTTTTGGGGGAATCATCGGTTGGTATCGGTAATGTTGCTATTTACAGAATGGAAACTTAACACGTCTTTGTTTGAGAAAATCCATTAAATTGCAGCAGAGTTATTATTTTGTTTTTATGTTATTATCGCTTATAATAATTCAAAATTCGTTTCTTAAGACAATTTTGTATGCGCGTAACTTGATAATTTGTGACTGGAATTTATTATAAAAGCTTAACCAACATTTATCTTAATTATACCTAATCTTAGATGGAGAGTCGGGCAGCCAGCGTGAAGGAGAAAGTGCTGAAGTACGCGGAGAATAAACGGAAGAACATGACCTTACCGGATGTGACGATCCCCCCACCACCCCATCCTCCAAACTATTCCACCATGATCTACCCCAAATACGCCGACAAGCTTAAGATTGGAGTTCCGGCGGAGCTGCAGATGAAGGAGATTGGTCTGAATTGGAGGAATAAAGAAGCTAATAACATCATGGAGCTCAAGATGCCAGACTGNGGGTACCAATGGGTCCAACAATATATGTCTATGAGCGAAGAGCTTCATTATTAATACATGAAGTTGGATAGATAGTTGAGATGGATAAACAGATGAATAGAAAGTTGAGATGGATAAACAGATGTAGACTGATAAGACAGATAGTTGAGATGGATAAACAGATGGAGATGGATAGAAAAATAGTCTTCAGAAAGATGGATAGATAGTTAAGATGGATTAACAGATGGAGAAGGATAGCATGATAGTCTTCAGACAAATGGATAGTTAGTTGAGATGGATTAACAGATGGAGACGGATAGAATGATAGTCTTCAGACAAATGGATAGATAGTTAAGATGGATTAACAGATGGAGACGGATAGAATGATAGTCTTCAGACAAATGGATAGTTAGTTGAGATGGATTGACAGATGGAGACGGATCGAAAGATAGTCTTCAGACAGATGGATAGATAGTTGAGATGGATTAACAGATGGAGAAGAATAGAAAGATAGTCTACAGACTGATGGATAGATAGTTGAGATGGGTAAACAGATGGAGACTGATAGACAGATGGTCTTAAGAAAGATGGGGTAGTTATTTGAGATGGATAAACAGATAAGCGGATAGAAAGATAGTATTCAGACAGATGTACGGATAGTTGAGAATGAGAGGTTAGATAAAGATAGAAGACATAATAGAAAGAATAGAATGATTTTGAAGAATAAAAAGATAGATACGTAATGAATTGAGGGTAAAAGATACAAACAAACTGAGCTGCAGTCAATGAATAGATGAATAATCATAAGATATTTAAAGGCAGGGTTACCCACAATGTATGAGACATCAGAGACGATTGTACGCAATTTGTACAGTACATTTTTAATATTCAGGGTTCCTTGCAGACCAAAACTAGCTGATTTCTGGGCCATTTAGTAAACCATTTAAATACTCAATTTAATGCAGAAACCAAAATCAAGCTTAAAATCGTCATATTTTTGATTTTTAATTTTCAAAATTCGATTTTTTCATTTTAATTAAATAAGACATTTCAATTTACCTTCCAGCCTAATTGAAACAGATTCGCAGAGCTTATTTGCAACTTCAGATGCAACATTCTAAAAAAATCGTTCAAATTTAGTTTTTTTTTATTTATCTAATGATTTCTCAACGAAAAGGAAGAGAGAAAAAAAACAAAAACCAAATCTAAGGTGTCAAATACACAGGTGAAAAAACACTGAAACAGCTAGAACTGGATACAAATCGAGAAAAAAAATAAATAAAGAACCAAAAAAACTTGATGCATTTTGTAAAAAACTGGATCAAAAAGCTGAAAAACTATATGATGAAACTAGATGATAAGATAAAACTAGATAAAAACAAGATAACCCTAAAAAAGAGGGAAAAAAACTAGATAAAACTTGATAAAACTAGAGAAAAACATAGATAAAACAGAAAAAGCGGGAAAAAACTAGAGAAAACTCGATAAAACTGGATAAAACTGAAAAAAAAATGGTTAAACAATATGAAAACTAGTACGAACCTTATCAATGAGATTATCCCTGAGTTTACTGATTACAGGTTCAAGATCCTCTTTAGTGAGAGCTTTGCTTCCAACCAATCCTTTGAAAATTGAGAACATTCCCTTTCCAGCACCCTTGCTACCAGACTCATCCTTTAATCAATCAATCAATCAACCAATCATGCATATGAAGGAAATTAATTTGAAAATAATTGCAGTGAATATATTTTCAAAAATACCCAAAAAATAGAAAGCTACTCTCAAATTTCCCCTCTTTATTGATACTTTAGACCCCAAAATATCAGTTGGTTGGTATTTCTTGTCATAAATTATAGTTAGGTTGATATAAATTATGATTTTGTTGAAAATTATAAAAATAAAGTTAAAATTTAGAAAACTAACCTCGTCCTCAGATTCAACCTCGAGGTTCTGGAGAACAGCTGATTTACCAACAGCAAGCATATCAGCTTGATCTACAGTCTAAATATTTATTTTTAGATCAAAGGCTATTCATTTCAGATTAGAGGTCATTCTTTTTATTTTTCTTTTTGATTAAAGGTCATCAATTTTTTCTTCAGTTTAGAGGTCAACCATTTAAACTTTTGTTGAGATTATAGGTCATTCATTTCAAATTTTTAGAAGGTAATTGATTTCAAATTAAGAACAAGATTAGGAACAAGATTAGGAACAAGATTAGGAACAAGATTAAAACCAAGATTAAGACCAAGATTAAGACCAAGATTAAGACCAGGATTAAGACCAGGATTAAGACCAAGATTAAGACCAAGATTAAGACCAGAATTAAGAGATTAGAAACAAGATGAAGAACAAGATAAAGAACAAGATTAAGACCGAAATTAAGAACAAATTTGAGAACATGATGAAGAACTATAACAAGATTAAGAAGTACACCTACCTCGACATGAGAACCAGGTTTGTCTCTAGTTCTTTCCAAGCTCTTAATATCCTTCACCTAAAATACATCTTATCAGTGCTGAAAACTTTAGAATTATGAATATCGAGATAAATGCTTGATCTCCTTTTTTATTAATCTTAAGATTAATAAAACTCTACATTAATGCAACAAATCAGAAGAAACCGAACAACCAATCAGAAACCGAGAAATTTTGCGCACGACCAATTAAAGAATCCAGCACAGGGATATCCGAAAGAGAAGATTAAGAAAATCAAAAGTGTCCACAGTGGATACAGAGATTTAGCAATCTGGATTAAGGGTATCCAATACCAGAGTTTACAGCTCAGATATAAATTAATAAGACTGTAGATATTACTGTAAATATCTTTCCATTTCAAGAAATTAAAGAAATATTATTTTCGTTTTTACTCAAGACTAGTTAAAATATCTGTGTACATTAAGAAGGCTCAATATTGGAATTAAGCCAACCACCCACCAGGGATTGCTGCGTTTTCACTTAAAAATATTGCTAAAAAAAATTCAAAATCTTCCATAAGGTTGCGAGTTGAAGATATCGGAGAAATTACCGTAAGGCCTCAAAAAAAAAAATATTTTAAAAATTTCATTTTATATACATAATTTTCTTGGAAATTTTATGCTGAACTCAAATCTGAAAACGGTTTAACAACATTGCCTTTGGTTGTCTAATTTGCCCCTCCCCCCCCACATCATCAACAATTATTTCCTCCTATGTGTGGGGAGCAAGGTAGTATAATAAGGTTGGTTACTCTCGATGCGCTACAATGTACGTAAAATGTCGTCTCCTAAGATAGATAGATAAACCTCACATGACGTCACTGACTATAGAGGCAAGAGTGGCGTCATATGAGGTTTTTATCTATCTATCTAAGGAGACGACATTTTCCGTACATTGTAGCGCATCGAGAGTAACCACCCTTAATATGCAACCTTGGTGGGAAGGTATTCTTGAAAATATTTACCCCTGAAAATAACTGACCTGTCCACCAAACATCACCGGGTCCCAAGTTGTACTCTTCTTCCCAGCTTTGGCTAAACATTTAAATTTAATTTAAACATCCCATATTGATTGATTGATTGATTGATTGATTCATTTATTCATTTATTCATTTATTTATATATTCATTTTTATATTCATTTTTATATTCATTCATTCTTTCATTCTTTCATTCCATAATTGTTATAACTCTTATTTAAGAAGCTGAATCAACACAGTACACTTTAACCTATCAATCAATTGATCAATATTGTTGACGACTCATTTTGATTTTTTTTTCGCATAATTTAAGGTATAATGAATAAACACTTCGGAAAATACTTCCTCTCCCTGGTATATCTTTGAAATCATCTCTGGATTGTTTTTAGCAACCAATCCGAAAGTAACTTATTTAGGGGAACCCAATTAATTAATCTTAAAAATACATACTGAATAATGGATATCTCATTCAGTCACACAAACCTTTAAATGGTACTTTTATTTATCGGATATCCCACTCTATAAATGGAGGGTCACTGGAAATTATCTGCAGCCTTCGTTAAAGAATACATCAAGATTATTCCATTATTATATTTTTTTTCCTCACAAGATTATCATATTATGGTTTACTGTCACTTAGAATTTGCATTTGTTGTTCAAGGATACTTACGTGTTTTAGGACTCTTGGGATTAGGGGTTTTAGGGGCTTTCTTGCCACCAGACGAAATGAACTTTTCACGATTCTTCCTGGACAGATTTTCAAAATATCAATTGATAAATCGTAATTTTGTGAGCTTAAAAACTAAAATAAGAAATGCACAAATTAAGTAAAAGTGGAACATCTCTAGGCATGATATTGAAAATCCGCAATAACTTTTCTAAAAAATTATTCAAAAAGGAACAAACAAGGTACTGCCCCTTCCTATGAGACTCACACTCCATTAAAACAGTGCCAACATTTTTTAAGCGTTTTAATCACAAAACTCATTAAAAAAGTGTGGATAAAAAGTATCAAAAATGATTTTAAAAACGTCCATATTCATTCTTTATTTTCCCCCCAGCTCAATTCTTGATATATACCCCTGTTCCATGTTTTGTGAAATGACATGGCATAATATTTTGATTCCTTATGAGCTCTTGTTCCAGTTCCTCCGGGGTAAGTCCTTCCTCATCTTCTTCCTCCTCCTCATACTCTTCCTCCTCCTCCTCCTCCTTCATCTTCATCTCCTCCTTCTGCTGCTTTTTCTGCGACTTCTTGTTCCCAGGACCTTTAACCAATAATAGTATAAGAAAGGAAAGGTGAGTTTAAATCTGAGATGAGATTTTAAAGGCTTAAACCCAAGTAAAACCCGGTCTTTGCGTCTACTACCCCAGTAAAGCTCAAGTCAAGATCCGGGTTTTGGATGGCCTTAGTTTAGTAAGAACCAACCATCTTGGGGTTCGAGTCGTCAGCAGCGGATGATCGTAAATTTCGTTAAAATCTTTTATATTAGTACATTTTAAATCTCGGGAATTACTATGAAAATAATGTATCTACACTTGAATTTTCGAAATTTACATCTCCTTGTCACAGCTGACCTGACGGCATTCTGTCTGCTACAGAGAGAAAGCTTGCTAAACAGTCTCTCATTGGTCGAATCAGAACCAATCCTGACTTGGGTTCTATCTAAGCCTAAGTTTGGGTTTTACTCGGTTTTAAGCTTTTAAAAAATCATCTCAGCAGTAGTATAGGTTAGGAGAGGAGGGTTTAAACCAGTAAAAGTAGAACTAAGTAGGGGATTGAGAGTTTACACCAATGAGAGAAGAGTTAAGGAGGGGATTGGGTTAAGCCAATAAGAGAAGGTCTAAGGAGGGGAGGTAGTTTAACTAATAAGAGGAGAGCTAACGAGAGGAGTGGGATAACCAAGGGCGTACACAGAGGGGGGGGGAGGGGCTAGTAGGAAGTGCCCCCTCTAGAACTCATAAATGATTAATAAAAATCCAATCATTAACATATTATCAATGTTTCTTTATTTACTAAACTTGACACGGGAATATTTTATCAATGTTTAATTTTATTAATTTCTTATGATAATTTGTTAAGCGGGGAAGTTTAATATAAATTATAAATAAAAAATAAAAATAAAATTACATCTTTAAAAAAATGAATAAATTAATAATGTTGTTACCTAGTTCATGTTTACTCGTCTTAATCATGGAAGCAACAGATTTACTCGACTGTATAATAAATATTTAGAAAATACAGAAATGACCCAAAATTGAAATTTGTTTTCAACATTTCTTATTTCTGACATAACAGGAAGAAAATGGCCAAACTTGATTAAAGAGTAATGGAGTTAACGATTTATCCCACCTCTTGAATAAAAAAGGAACTTCAGATCGAGTGAAAGGTCCCTTTAAAGGGACTGTTCAGAGTAATTTCAAGTGACCCTCCATGCAAAGATGGCAATGCATGATTTACAACGGTACCCTTGAAACCTTGATATGATCAAAATTATAAATGTACAAGTCACTTTCACAGAGAAATCGCAAAAGAAAATAAAAGGGTTGAATAAACAAAAAAATTGATATTTTCTAATTTATACTTGACCAGTCAAAGCTTTCAAGGGTACCGTTCTAGATCGGACATTGTCATCGTTGCATGGAGTGCACCTTGAAATTACGCTTACAGTCCCTTTAATAATAAAATTGGGTTAAAATCCTTTTAAAAGTTCTAAATATATTCCTTGTCAGATTCAGCATAGGACCGGGGTTTCTTCTTAGCTTCCTCTTCAACACGGGCCTCACACTCTATATAAATAGATAGTTAGATTAAAAGCATAGGACCGTGTTTCTTTTTGGAAAGAGATGAATATGTGGAAAAATATTTAGTTATCCAGGAATTGAATGAAAATACCAATGAACAAATTTGATATAGGGATGAATGAAAAACTTTAGGGATAAGTAGATAATGGATAAATGAATGAATGAAAGAATAGGTTACCAATAAACTCATCGTCGTGGGATTAGATAGATACAGAGGTATAAATATGTATAAATATACATACACATTATTATTATTATTAGCAGACAACCAATCATTCAATGAAATATGGGTCAACGCTCCTTGTCACCAAAGTGTGATGATGGGCAAAACGGCATGCTTTGCCCTAGGAAGGAGACTTACTCAGCGGTCAGCCCGAAACAGATTCATAAAGGACAGAACCGATTGGGTCCAAATTTTTTGTAGGACCTCGCGTGACCCCAGGAAAGGTTTATGGGTGATCGAATTATCAAAAATTTGTTAAACATTTTTTTTTTACATATCTGCAAAATTTTTTTTACAATGCTCAGAAAGAGGACATGTTCACAATGTAAATGGAAGATGGGCGCGAAGCGCCCTAATAGTCTAGTGAAATATAATTGACTAACCAATAAGTTTGATAGTTTTGCTGTACTCGGCGTCAAATGAAGAGAAATCGATGAAAAAACTTTCGGCCTTCAGGTCTTCAGCAAACATATCCCGAAACCTAAAAATCAATCAAATAATCAATCTTCTAACCAGTAAATCATCTTCAACAGTCAAACAAAATTTATCTGAAAACATCTAAGAAAATGAATGGTTGGATAAATGGATGGATAAATGGATGGATAAATGGATGAAGAAAAGAATGGAAGGATGAATAAATGAATGAATGGATAAATGAATGAACCTCATCTGTAGTTCATCTAGTAGTTTGTCAAGGTAAAGTAATGGTAACATCTTCTGATAAGCTACCACAAACACCAGCTCAAACTCATTATCCTGTATTAATTATAAGGATAATAATTTGATAATAATAATAATAACAACAATGATGTGACAATAATTATAAAAACATAATTATGATAATTATGATAATAATATTAATAAGGATAGTAATGATAATAACAATGGTGAAAACTATATAACATTGATATTAATGTTAAAAATAATGGTAAATAATAATGTTAGTCTCAAATAAAATAATTTTTCTTTAGAAAAAAAAATCATGTTCATAAGTATGCAGTGTAGTGCATGCACAAATTTATAAGTTTACGGAACACGTTTTTCAGAATATACAATAATTTTAACTTTAATAAAATAGAGTTGATATATGATAATAATAGTAATAACCCCTGAAAATATAAACCCCTGAAAATGTACACCCCTGAAAATATACACCCCTGAAAATATACACCCCTGAAACTATACACCCCTGAAAATATACACCCCTGAAAATATATAACCCCGAAAAAAAACCTATGTGTGACACCCTGTACCTTAATGAGATCATTGACAGTAGGTGTGAAGGCCTCCCACTCTCGCTGTAGTAGACCCGCCCCTTAAATATATTTAATATCAAATCCTTTAAAACCAAACCAAATGTGGCTTAGCAAGAAATACCTTACGATCAATCGAAAAATCAAAACAATAACATTTTATTTCATAAAGAGCATAAAGAAATGACATGGGTCCGGATCCGGATCCATTTTTTTTCCAGTGCAGATCCAGAATACGGATCCGGATCCGCATCAAAATTAAATAGATCCTAAGCACTGCTTACGACCATTCGAAAAATCAAAACAATAACTAGCTTTTCCCTGGCCGGGGGAGTCAAGGAGATACTTCCGATGGTTGGCAAACCAATTGAATCCATAAAACCAACAAAATAATATATTTATTAATTCATAACACTCACAGAGAGATAGATCAGACTAGTTTAATACGTCATATCACTCCTTTATTTGAACAAAATAAGGAAACCTCATTTCACTTTTATCGAGAAACCACAATTCAGAATTGTAAACTTTCGCGCCCATCTTCTATTCAATTTTAAACATTTTCTCTTTGTTTACATTTTTAAATAATAAAAAAAGTTCGGATTTTATCATTTTTTTTTTGAAATTTCATTTAATGAAAATCGAATTTTGATAGAGGCTAATTTATTATCTATAAACATTCCCTGGGGTCAAGTGCTTTGGATCCATTAAATTTTGATGCGGATCCGGTTCCTGGATCCGCACTGGAAAAAATGGATCCGGATCCCGATCTAGGTTATTTCTATAAAATTTACTAAATTTTTTAACAATGCTGAATTTTCAAATTTTTTTGTCTTAATTTTTTTCGCTTATTTTATGCTAAAACTCAATTGATCAACCCTTCCGAAAGCAGGAAATTTTTATAATGTCTCTTTTTTCAATAGTTCAGATATTTTTGCGGATCCGGATCCGGGAAGCCAAAATCTTGCTAGGATCAAGTGATGTCCCACACAAAATGTGGGCCCGATCGGTTCAGACGTTTTGACCTTTATTGGATACAAACCACTATAGTTTCAGTAGAAGTAAATATTTCCATTTACTGTTAGCGCCGATTGAAGGATTCATAACTCTAATTGGATAATGAAATATATAGAAAGATAGATTTTACCGTCATACAATTTCTATTGGTACAGAATAGACATCAAACACATGCCTGAACCCTGATTGGATCGGCATACAGGAGTGAAACAGATACCCAGAAAAGCAAAGTATATATATAGAATACAGATAAGAAAAATGCGTTCATAGTTTGAGCTAAGATACATTGTGATTAAGACATTCCATTCTATAAATGGACGTTCACATGAATAAACGTTAACACTCCCTTTGAGAACAGCTTATAATCGAAATATTTGATTGTAATGTTAGAAGATTTCCTGTTTGCCGTTCAAGAGATAACAAAGATTGAGCAAATATTAATATATACGGATTAGAAGATAGTTGTATTTTTCTAATTAAATTTTATGAAATAATAATTTACTTATTTTCATTTTGAAAAACATGGATCTTAGCGAATCATTTGTGTTTGTTTGTGGTTGGTGCAATACAAATATTACGATTTCCCCCTTTAATTTTTCGCGAACACTCCCTTTAATATCATATTAAATTCCTGAAAACCCCCATAATATCGCATTAAATTAGACAAAACCCCTTTAATATAATTTTAAATTCCTGAATACTCCCTTTAAATACGTGTAAACTCTCTTTTATATCACTTAATAAATTCTTAAACATTCCCTTTAATATTACTTTAAAGTCACTGAACATACCTTGTAATTACTTGAAATACGTGAAAACCCCCTTTAATATCACTTTAAAAACTTTAACACTCTGTTTATTATCACTTTAAATGCATGAACACTCCCTTTAAAATCACTTTAAATACGTGAACACTTCCTTTAATATCACTTTAAATATATGAACACTCTCTTTAATATCACTTTCTATACGTGAACACTACGTTTAATATCTCTTTAAGATACACCTCCTTTAAAATCACAAAATAAATTCGTAACAACCACTTTATCACGTTAAATTCGTGAGAAAAAAACACTAGTTTATCTAGATTTCAGTGTTTCCGCGGTAGAAATGCGCAAGCCACGTTTATTAGAGAAACCACACTCGAAAATAAACAGTTTAAAAAAACAAAAACACAGATATCTATTATCTATTTCATACTTGATCAGAAAGCTTTGAAGGGTACCGGGGAGAATGGGACATGGCCATTTTTGCATGGACGGTCTAATGAAATTACGCTCACAGTCCCTTTGATCATTTTAAACTTGAACTAATTCATAGTTGGACATATTAACCATGGGACCAACACGCAGTTAAAATTGGTTAACTGAACTTACAAAAAAACTATGATTTTTTTTTATTAAAAAAAGGCGATATGGGTGTCTAAAGTTGCGCCTCTAACCACTGAATATTGCGCAGTTGTTGGCTTTTTGAAATTGTGAAAATTTGTTGATCTAGGGCCAATAAACTATTTTTTTTGGAGGAAAATTGCCTATAATCTATTCAATTATAAACCGATTTTGACACTTTTGATTTCAGTGTTTTAAGACGGATTTTTTTTCGGACATATTAGGAGAAAAAAACAAATATTTTTGCTGGCACTAGTTATTTTTTATTTACAAAAACGTGATGCGCTGAATGATTTTGAAAATGATAAACTTTTTTTTTACATTTTTGCTCTGCTTTTCATTATAGAAACTTTTCAGACACGTGCTGAGAGGATATGAAGTGCCAAATTGTCCCACCCTTAAAACTATGACAAGAAAATAAGAAATAAGAAAAAAAAACTATTCCTGAATTGGTTTTGACTGGAGACATGATCTCCTCCTCCTCCTCCTAGGCCCCGACGATGATGTTGTTGATGGGGATGTGGATGAGCTTGACGAAGAACCCGATGAACCCCATGATACCGAAACCAATCGCAGTGGCGATGGCGATCTTGCTGAACTCCTTCCTGGAAACAATAAGTAGTAAAAGGCTGGGGTATAGAATATAGATTTTATTGTATTAAGACACTAGCTTGAAACCCCAGCGTTGCCCATGGTAGTCATTGGTTAGTCCCCCCGTTTACCCGCGCTATGTTGTACATTAGGATTTAAGCTACTTTTCCCAATTTAGAATCTGAAAACCAAGCTAGGATCGGACAAACAAACAAACAGACAGACAGACAGAGATTACAACTTTGTATATATAGACGAAGAAGAAGATATAAGATAATGATTAAGGAACAAATTTCAAGGATAAAAAGTGTCAAATGAATACCCCCGGGTGTGAGATTTAAAAAAAAATAATGAATCGGTCATTGACAAATGGACATTTTTATTATTATGAATGTGAGAAATTCTCAAATTTTATTTGTTAATTAAAAAATTTTAATATAAAATGTTCAACTTTCTACCTGTCAGGCTTAGTGCAACGTTTCACAAGTCTGATGGAGTCCTAAACAAAAAAAAAATAATTAAAAATGATCAAATAATTGTTTCACTAGTTCTAAGCAATACACTATAAATTAAAAATATATAAAATTTAAGTAAAATGATCAATTGATCGTTTCTCTAGTCCTAAACGGAGGCTGTATAAATTAATGAAAATAATGAAAAAATATAAAAATATGANATATTGAAAAATGAATGTCCATATCCTCCAATCATAATTAATCATGATTATATAGGAAATTAACAATAAATTTGAAAAAATCGCACAATAAAAACACGATGCAAAGTATTATTCCAGCGGAGATTACAGAATTTTGGCGTTAAGGCTTTAAGCTTTACCATTTTTAAAGTGAAACGCAGTAAGCGTAAAGAGCTCATTTTCGATAAAAACTTATCAATTTTGTGCATGACAAAGAATACAAATATTTTCAAAAAAAAAACGTCTATTTTGTATTGATTCAGGGTTAAATTAGGTCAACTTCTGGGCCAAGCGCTGCGACTAGGACATGCGAGGGGGCCGAGCGCTGCAGCCAGGACAGACCTTCCATTTCAACAATATTCAACAAAATTATTATATATTTATTCCTTCTTCTCAAATACTTTATTAAACAAACAGAAACTTAAACATTTAAATTATAATTATTAAGTGGCTTGTTCGCCCTCTATAGTTTCAGATAAAATAACAAACGTGATTTCAAATATTCCATGAAAGAAGAACGAGATATAAACTTTTAATAAATCAGCAAAAACTATGGATTTATGAATTTACAATGAATTTACATAATTTTACATTTATGGTAAGATTTGTTAGTCTGATGATGTTTTCGATTACTGGACTATATCATGATACTGGAAGAGTCTCCAGGAACAGGCTATATATGTTATTGTTTTGGTTACATTTATATATTGTTGTGTACTTTACATCTTTCATGTTTCAGATATAAATACTCCTAGGCTTGGGGGTTTTATATATATCAGCTATTATTGTACATAGTCATTTCCAGAGAATATGTGTCACTGACATTATAGTACTCAGGTATATTAGTCAGTTTATCAAGATTAGGTACTAAACCGAGCACCGCGGCTAGGACAGGATAGGGGGCCGGGGGAAAGCGTATGCAATCCTTAATTGGGTTTTAATTTAATCTTAATAATTTAACTTGCCTTAGAGAACTGTCTGACTGGCTCGAGGGCTGTAATGATCTGATCCATTGTTTATTTTAATTCTGAAAAAGTAAGTTTTAAAATAGTGAATATTACAACATATGATAATATTAAAAGACAATAACATAAGAATAGAAACTGTATAATTAACAAATTAAGTTGGAATATTTTTGCAATAATTATAAAATTAAAAACCTTTCTATAAAACTTACAATCAAACTTTTGAACTTAACAAAATATTCGATAATCGACCTCCAAATCTATTTAATACGCAACCCATGGAACTGGAGATAGCAAAGCAAGAAATGAATGCAACGTATTTCTTATATCTTGCGACACTGTGACTGAAGTCTAAGTCACTCTAAACTCTAAAAATCTCTACGTCATTTGTTTTTAAAGTTGTCTGCTAGCTCTGTGACCAAAGCAGGAAACGGAATTAAAAAACCAGTTTTAAAGAATACCAGAGGTAAATTTTCTCAAAAATAAAAAATAAATATTTTGCCAAAATCTTATTTTTCATTTCTTTACGGAAAATATAATATTTAAAAAAAACTTAAAATGTGAAGTATTTATTAATGTAATCCTCTGTTTTTCGAAGGGCTTTTAAAAGTTAGAAGTGGTTCCGCGGCATTTTCTGACTATTGCGCTTTCTCTGCAAATCATTTGTTTTTAGATAATTCTTTCAATTAACTTCATTAATAACATACAATTGTTGAAAATTTCTTGATTTTTTAGCTAAGTGTTTGAAAATGTCATCTTTGTTTTGACAGTTCTAATATTTTTTTTAATTTAAAGAAAAGTTTGAAATCGGTGTTTTTAGTAGTTTTAGATTAAATAAAATGGAGAAATCACAGAAACTGATTTTAGACGAAGAATTTTCGTCTAGTTTACCCGAGCCTAGACGATCTATTTTCATCTACGAATGGTTGACATATCTCAGTAAAGTTCTACCAAACGTATCAAAGGTAATTACAATTCAAATCAGAAATGTTGTGAATGGACATGACTAATTTTAGCCGGTTATTACTAGTTAGGTTAAACATTACATGCAATTTAACATAAACATGAAATCTTTTCAAGTCGTCCTTGTATGCATGAAACAGAAACGGGTAACTTCCTTTTGTACGCTTTATGGGCCCTCCCCACTCCCCCTCCCCCTCTTATATCAATTTCGAACATAGAGCTCACATGTTAAACATTTTGAAAAATGTGGAAATGTGTCTGCAGTTCAAGTTCAAGCCCAGAAATTGTTCAATCCTAACCTACCCCTGAATCAATATAGACCCGGTATTTGTTATTGTTTAGTTATTATAAGTTAGAATAAGATTAGAATTCACACACTTCCAGCAACTTACAGAGCATATTGGTAATTTCCTAGAGAACGATTTTTGACCCCCCTCCCCCCTTCTATCAATTTTGTACATGACTTTTTCAACAATTTTCAATTATATGTAAGACATGCGGCCGAAGCGCTCAGCCCCCTAGCCTGTCCTAGCCGCCGCGCTCGGTCCAGAAAGTGTCTTAACCTAACCTAACCCTAAATAAATATTAATTTAATTGAA